AGCTTCCTAAAAGAAATGATACATACGTTAACTGAGTTGGAGAAGTTGAGAAGGAATAAGCCATCCAGACAGAGAGAAGGCAGAGAAAGGCATTGCAGGACAAAGAGAGAGTGTGCACAAAGGGACAGTTGGGTGTGCATTGCAGGGTAGGGGAGAGAAGAGGCCACTGAAGAGACAGGAGCCTGGATCATAAAGGTCCCCTGCTTAAGCGTTTGGATTAAAACTGGGGTGAAGGGAACCTTGAGGGTTTTAAGAATTAGGGAATTCATTGGACCAAATTTTTGTAAATCCCTGTGGCAGCAGGGAGATGATTTGGAGAGAACAAGGTACCAAAGAGCCTACTGCCCTGTTCCAGGTTGGAGATGGTGGTGATGGCTATGGAGAAGACATCAGGCTTCAGGACCTACTGTGGAGACAGGCAGAGGAGGGAAGCTGGGAGTGCTCTTGAGTTTCTGGCTTCCATGGCTGGTGATAAGCACTCCATTGACTGAAACAGGAATGACAGGACACGAGGACAATTTAGGGAAAAGGCCCATGCTCAGTTGTAGGAGCTTGTTGGATATCCAAGTGGACATGTCTACACAGGATTCCAGAAAGAGGTCTGGGTTTGGGATTCATCAAAGGATGGGCAGTAGAAGCTCATGGTAGGGAGTAGACAGCCAAAAAGAGAAAACATGCACTGTGCATGGCACTCTGGGGACCACAGGCACCGGGGCCAGATGCAGACAGAGAAAGAAGACTCCATGGATGGGCAGTGAGAGAGTGTGACGGCACGGAAGAATAAAACAGGATAAAATAGAAAACGCCCAGCCGTGTCGGATGCTTCCGCAAGATCGTGTAACAGGAGTCATCGGTGGCTTGGGAGATGCAGAAATGAAGCCCACAGGGCAGGGAACACAGCTTCCTCAACAAGAGTGAAAGCATATGAAGCAGGGTGGCCGGGGAGGGGAGGGCAACAGGAGCTAATGTTTGTGGCAGCAACCAGCAGTGTGGCATTCTCCCAAGGCCAAGCACAGAGCAGGGCTTCCAGAAAGGCTGACTCCACTCACCGCCCCTCTCTGTGGAGTCCACTGTGTAGAGTCACACTCCTCTTCTCCCCATGCCTGGCCACCGAATGGGGACAACAGTGCAGAACTTCCATCTAGATACAGTCAGGGGACATGGAAGGAGAAGGGTTGTGTGGCCAGTTTTCCAGCAGCCTGAGTAGAACTCTAATAAAATGTCCTCAGGCAGCTCTTTGGAACCCCATTTTCAGCCTGCCCAAGAGCACTTGCAGCTGGAAAGACAGCTGCAGAAAGGGGTCCCACCTCCATAAGCAATGAAGCACTCTCCATGTGTGGCCAAGGAGAAAGAGACAGGAAGCTCAGGGTCCTGGGAGAGGAGGGCTCAGGAAGAGGCCAAAGAAGCAGAAATGAGCAGAAAGGAGTTGGGGCTTGATGAAGGCGTGGATAGCCTGAAGGCAGCCATTCAGGTGGTAGCAGATTATTTCGACTCAGGGGCATTGGTGAGGGAGAGGAGAGCGAGTCAGCTGCCACCTGGCTACAGATCCCACCAACAAACATGAAGGTCTTGGTGTTCCGGTACATGAATGGCTGGTGCTGATCGGATGCAGGGTTCGTGGTGGTGGATTGCGTCTCCTGGCAGACTGCACTGTGTATGACAGAGATGATGTACTAAACTCCACAGCTCGATTTGGCCAATTTCGAGTTGAAAGGATGGTACTGGACCCAGGCCTCAGAAGTAGCTTGTCATCAAGATCTCTAGTAGCCAAATCAGAAACCCACAATGAAGTAAAGATCTCTATGTAAACAAAGACAAGACTCATGGGTTAAAGTCTTTGACTAGAAACTACACTTAGGGGAAAATAAAGCAAAAATAAAAACCTTTCAATAAGTAACCTAGTTTCCAGATGGTACTCTAGCTCAGGCATGAGAATCTGTTCTTAAAATTAGGACATTATTTCAATCATAAACATAGTTTACTAGAATGGCCATTTGAGAAAGCAAGTCTGTTAGTCACCTGCCATCACAGTCACTTTTAGTCACCAGTGAAGGCAAGCCTGAAGGACACCTACTCCAAGCCCTCTCCCCACTGCAGTACATGCTGCCTCTCCTGACATTGCTCTGACAGCCCAGGGCCATCTTTCTTGAGAACCGCTGACTTCCTCAGCATCCTACTTAGGTCACAGAAGAAGCCTGCAAGAGTCTGAGACAGCCCCTGCTCCGGCCTTTCCCACTGTGCCACGGCACTTCACCAGCCTCTGCCAGGACGAGGTCGACCTAGCAGTAGGAAAAGCTCTGCACCTGGAGTTTCCTAGGCCGGAAAGGAAGCCATGGCTCATGCAGCAGCCAGTAATTCTGTTCCTCTAGTAGTTCTAGTTCTCCACCTTCTGGACACATAGTAGGACTGACCATCCTGGCCCCTGTGCTTGGATGTGGGCAGGTAGCCAGTCTGGCCAATGAATTGTAAATAGAAGTGAGGTGTGAGACCTGTAAGCCAAAAAAAAATCTCCCGCATGCGACCAATGCCTCAAATTGCTACAGTTTTGACAGCCTAGGTCCCAGAGGAAGGATGATGAGATGCAAAGCCCCCAGCTGACCCCTGATGAACAGGTAACATGAGCAGGAGCCAAGCCCTTCTTGTCTTGATCCACCGAGCTCTGGGGGTTGTTACAGCAGCAAAACCTGGCCTATCCTGATTGATAATCCTGGCTCCAGGACAACCTTGGCCAAGCACATCCCTCTGAAGCCAGCATCCTCACCTGCAAAGCTGGGGCATGACCATTACCTTCCCTGGGAGCTGGTGTGGATTGGAGGATGGGGAGCACGTGACATGAGCCACGCTCACACACAGCAGGCGCGAGGTAAGAGCACCATGCTTCCCGTGGCAGGTGGCAGTGCCCCTGGGGCGTGCCATTCCAGGATCCACAGAATTCTGACAGCTACACAATTTGTCCTCGGGCTCCCCCTTGGTCCTTCCAGAACATGTTCACTCCTTCTTCCTTGTGACAGCCATTCAGAGATTTGAGGAAATGTGGAGTGTGTGTGTGCACGTTTGAGAAAAACAGAGAGATGGAGAGTTTGAAGCTAGCATCTGTAAACGCTAGCACACAAGCATTCCTTGTGCTGGGAATGTCACATGCCTTATCAATAATTCTCCCCTTGGGTCTGTACGGCAAGTATGACAGTCGCCATTGTCGGGAAAGAAAAGAGGTGTGCTGGTATCCTCTGTGCTCTTCAGGCTGCCCCTCTGTTCCTTGCTCTTCCCTGCCCTGCTCCAGCCTGGGAGGTGGCTCCCTCCACGAGCTGGCAAGGATCTGGAAAGGAGAGAGGAGAGAGGTTGCACAGTTCTGCCCCTCTTCCTTCCTGCTCAGGCCGCCTCCCAGGCAGTGGCTGCAGGAGCCCTCTTCTGTGAGTCCAGCTCTTCTGGGGTTTGGCTAGCACTGTCCCTCCCACCCCCACCGACCCTTCTGCCTTAGGGAGGGTCATGACTTGCCACTGTTGCTAGTCGCTGAGAGCATCCTCATCTCTCGTGAGTTCCCCTGACGCTGTGCACACAAAGACGTTGTCTCTCCACTGGAAGTATCTAGAGTGAATTCTGTTTCCTGCTAGAGCCCTGAATTCACACCCAGGCCTCTGCCGCCAGGCCTTGCCTCTCTTATACCCCAGCCCATCCCTGCTTACCTCCCAGGGCCCCTGCATCTTCTCTCATCAGCAGACACATTCACTGCACCCATCGTGCTGCGTGGGACACAGTCTGGAGGCCCCTCCCTCCTCCACCTTGCTCCCAGGGAGTGGAAACTTGGGCAGGGGAAGGCTGGAAACAGTGTAGGCACAGCTCTGGGAACCTCTGAGGCTGCTCCCCTTCTGCCCCTTCTCACTCCTTCCCTGGCCTGCACCTAGATGGGTGGGGGCCTTGGGCACTTCCTCCATCCTGGCTGACCCCGGAGCTCCAGGGCACCAGGATCCTGGCCAAGCCTCAGGGCACAGCATTCTGGAAGCCCTCAGAGCCAAGGCAGCCAGGGCCAAAGGAGGCCAGGCCTGTTTCCAGTTTGGCCTTCCTTTGTTTTGCTGTTTCTGCGGTGGCCAGTTTGTCAGATCAATGTCATCCTTAAACCAACAATGTGCATGGAGCCATGGCCCTCATTGACCATCAATTACCACAGGCCTGTCACCTTTGAAAGCATGTCAGCTGGTGCTCAGCATCCGCTCCTGCCACCTGCACCCTGCAGCTGAGCAAACACGGAGTGACCAGAACTCGCCAGGGTCAGCCAGGAGTATGGCCCGATCCCTAAACCAAGAGGAAGAAAGCTGGCCTCCTTGTGGGAAAGGCGCTAAACGCTGCATGAAAGCAGGTCTCTCAGGAGCTCAAGGGATAATGGAAGCAGTTAGCTCAGGGAGAGATTTCTGGGTCAGGCCTGTCTCTCACTGACTAGCTTTGGGATCTTAGACAAGTTCCTCCACTTTTAAGCCTTATTATCATCCCTATTTCACCAAAAAAGAAGTGAGTCCTGACTCTGGAGCTGCTGTAGGTGCACACTCAGTAACCATAATAATGCAAATATTTCCAGAACACCTCCCCTTTGCCCCCTGCCACCCGCACCAGCCTTCCTCGGGGCCCTACGTGCACCCAGCCCAGCTGAGCACTTGAACTTCGCCATTTGATTCCTCCACCATCCCATGAGGTTTTGCTTAGTGGGAACCCATGGAGCAGAGGACACCAAGGCTCCGTGTGGCCAAGTGGCTTGTCCAACATCTCACAGCTAATGAAGAGTTCCCAATCCTGTGCCCTCTGATTTCAGAGCCCTCATTATTTTTAATCTTTTTCTTTTTTAAGCTTGCATCTCTCTGGCCTTACTTTTTAAGTTTTTGCTATGGAGATTTTTCAGACGTGCACAAACATAAAGAGAATAACACAATGAGCTCCCACGGGCCCATCACCTAGCTTCTATGATTACCAACATTCTGCTGTTCTTTCATCTACCCCCTTTCCCACTTTTATTTTTAGGGCATCCTAAAACAAATGCCAGGCATGGAATTCCACCAGTAAATAATACATGAGTGCCGCAGAGCCTCGATTCCTCATCATTGCCTGATCCCCTCGGATCACCCTCCATCAAGGCTCTGCAGATGGGCAGTGTAGAAAGATCAGGGGCCAATTCAGACCTAACTTCAACCCCAGCCTTGGTTTTGTGTCTCTGTGGGCCTTTGACATGTCACTGCATCTCTCTGACCATCCAGCTCTTCTTCTGTAAAATGAAGACCATGGTTGGAACTTCACTGAGTTGTCATCTAAACAAGATAATGAATGCTGGTGGGCCAGCATGTGAGGCAGGCTCTATACACCAGGTTCCCCTTCCTGGACTCAATGTATTTGTTTCCTGGGGCTGCTGTGACAAAGCACCACAAATTGGGTGCTTAGAACAACAGAGATTGATTCTGCCACAGTTCTGGAGGTCCAAAGTCTGAAGCTAAGGTATCAGCAGGGCCACGCTCTCACTGCAGTCACCAACGGAAGCTCGCTCGGGCCTCTCCTGGCTGCTGGTGGCCGCTGGCCATCCTTGACATTTTTTGGCTTGTGGTAGCATCACTCTGCCCTCTGCATTGATCTTCACATGGGCTCTCCATCTGTGTGTCTGTGTCCAAATTTCCCTTTTCTTATAAGCACACCAGTTATTGGATTAGAACCCACCCTGATCCACTGTAGCCTCATCTTCACTTGATGACATCTTCAAAGACCCTATTTCCAAATAAGGTCACATTCACAGGTTCAGGGTGGATATGAACTCAGCACCCCTGAGCTGCTGCCTACTGCTCAGGCCTGGGGAGCTTTCCAGGGCAGATCCAGGGCCCTCCCCTGCTGTGTGCTTGAGACAGAGAAGGCTGGCTCCCAGAGGAGGAGAGCAGAGTCTCCCTGATGCCCTTTGCCCTGCACCAGCCGTACCAGTCGCCAGCTTCTCAGAGAGCAGCCACTGAACGCTGGCACTTGGGAGAAGCAAGCCCATCCTGAAGGTGGCTGCCTGCCACATGCCTTCCCAATGCACTCAAGAGAAAAGTCCTGTTTCCTGGCCCGCAGCCCTTGCTGGGCTCACCTCAGCATCCTTTTTGCCCCCTGCCACCCACACCAGCCTTCCTTGGTGCCCTAAATGCACCGAGCGCAGCTGCCTCCTGGCCCTCACTTGTGCCCTTTCTTTCCACAACCCTTCACCTGGGTAACTCCCGTCATCCTTTGGGCCATTGCTTAACCATCACTCCCCAACACACACACGGAGGCCTTCCTGAGCCCACATAGCAGTCTTTCATGCTGTCCTTTCTTGAAACATCCTGTTCTTTCTCTCCAATGCACTGATCACAATATCTATCCATTCTGGTGTTTGTTTATGTGTGTTCTGACTTGTTCCCCCACTATAAGCCCCATGTGGTCAGTAACAGATATTCCATTTAGTTCTGCACCCAGCACTCCACACCATGCCTGGCACACCACAGATGCCCAATAAACATATGCTCACCCATCAATAATGAAGTCCCTCTGCAGAACCTTCTGATTGTGCAGGGGAGAGAGGTCAAAGACAAAGGGTAGAAGGTAGAGCCTCCATCTGGAGGCCCACAAATGCTCCTTTGTTGGAAAATCTCTGCTCCCACCCTGTGTAGCACCTCCATACACAGCTCTGGGCTCGGCCTCTGGAGTCACACGGAAGCCCCAACACCTCTGCCCCATCCCTGCCTTCCCTTCATTAGCAGATGGCTCCATGCTGCTCCATGCCGGCCTTTCCTTCCACGTCATGTCAGCCCCAGTTTGTTCTTTTCTTCCCCTTCCATCAGGGTCAGGCTTCACCCCTCCTCCTTCTCTGCTCTATGTTCCACTTCAGTTTCCACGTCCAAATCTAAGACCTCACAGGGAGGCGTTCTATGCACTCAAGATGAGGGGAGCCCTTTGGCCTGAGCCACCACACCTCAGGTTGGCCTGGCCCTTATTTTAGGCTGGTTTCCCCTTGCCAATGTGTGGGATTTCTGGAGGGGAGGCCCTGGACCCAAAACATGAAGTTGGCAATAGGACTGGCCCTAGGCAGCAGATGAGTGGAAGGTGCCTGTGACCCGTGCATGGGAGGCATGGGGACAGCGTCATGACGTGATCCACGCAGAGCCCAAGGCACAGCATGTGTTAGTGGCACCCCCACACACCGGGCCCTGCAACCCAAAGATGCAGCTTATCTGGCTGCCACACAACACAAGGGTGCACGTGTGCCTACCGACCACTGGAACCCCAAACAGAAAGCCAGAGGACACAAAAGCACACTTTCATGAGGACAAACTCTTTACAATCCAAATCAGACCCACAGTGTCTAGCTGGGGCTGTGTTCCACAGCCCTGAAGGTAAGGTCTGCACTTGATCCCTGATGAGCAGGTAGAAACAAGAGTCATTCCCTGAACACGTGGCATGGGAGAAAAATGACTACATAGGGACATGGAGCTGGAAAATACCACACACATTGTCAGGTTCAGCCCTCTGCCTTCAAGTAACAGAGGAACCGTGATAAGACACCTGAGACCCTCACTGGGGAATCATCCTGGCCAAAGTGTCCCGGCCAGTTAGGGTGGGAATCAGGGCCCGGTAAGCCCTGGGCAGTGTTTGCTCCACTGCTGCTGCAGGAAAAGACAGCAGGAGCCCACATCCAGGAGGAGGCAGAGAGGATGGGAGGACCTAGCAACACCCCCTTACGCCTCTGCCAGCGTCTCTGGGCAGTGCCCAGGACACATCCTCTACCCAAACGGCCCTACTTTACTGCACTATGGAAGGCTGTTCCCAGTGATTTCTCTCCCACCAAACCAAATTGACCGCAGCATGTACAAAATCTAAAAATCCAAGGCAACAGCCAACGAAGAGACCAAGACTTCAGCCGGTTTTTAAGTAAAAAGTACTAGACCTTGCACCCCTGGCCTTCGCTGTTCCTCTCCTCCCAGGTGTGGACGTTTTCAGCCTCACCCTCTGGCCCCGAGTGTGCCTTGGGTGTCACTGGAAAACCTGGGCTGTTTATGGAAAGACCCAGCCTTCCCCGCTGTACCCCCACAAGGCAGATATGGATGAGTTTCAAGCAGGCGTCATGGAAATGTCACTTCCGCCAGCCGCACCCCTCCGTTCGGCCCCACACAGCAGGGCCCTCTTCCCAATGCTGCCTGTCTGAAATGGGAGGCCAACCCTGGAACTTTTCAATCAGACAGAACTCCCACTGCTCTGCTTTTGTTTTATTTTCTCTCTCCCTCCCTCCCCAGTATTACTAATAACTGGCTTGGATGCTGGGATGAGTCAGCCCCACTGAAGAGCCAATTAGCTCACCCACAGGAAGCCCATTAACTCTTCCGGGACCCCAGGTATCAGACAGCAGGCTCCCCCTCTGTGAGCCCGGGGGACTAGTACATTCAGTGGCTCCTCCCTCAGGCCCTCTCCAGCTATGACATCCAACCCATTTCCCTCACCTCCTGTCACTGCCTGGATCCAGGTCTCATCACCTCCTCTGGACTTCCTTCTAACAGATCTCCCTGCCTCGGATATCATCTCATGCCATTCTCTTCCCTCCCTAGCTGCTCATACAGTGACTTCATAAAACCAGATCTACTCATGACACAACCTAGCTCAAAAGCTCTCTGTGGCTCCCTATTGCCCAAAAACATAAAATTTACTCTTACCAGACTTGCACTTCCCATCCACTCTAGAATCTGTTGTCCTCCTTTTCTAACCCTCTCTGGAGCTGATCCCCTACATAAACCCTCCCCAGGGTCTAAACACCTACCCCAAACCCTGGCCTCTGTGCCTTTGCTGCTGCTGGTTCTCCTATTTCGAATACTATCTCTTAACCTGTGGAAATCCAGCCCATCTCTCAAAGCTTGACTCCAACCCTACCTACTCTTTAAAGCCTCCCCACGGCCCTTCATTCAAAAACCACTCCTTCCCTTCAGAACTCTATTGCATTTCTGCCACTCAGCACATAGCAAGTTCCAACTGTAATTTCATGAAACTGCTTCTCACGGGCTTTGTCTTCTCAACAAGATTGGTACTTTCTTATCATCAATTTCACTATTCAACAATGGGGGACCTTTTTAATAAATTACAGAATATCCATACAGTAGATAACTAGTTAACCATTAAAAATAAGTGACAGAAGAAAGGACTGAAGATTGACATGAAAAGATGTTGATTATATATTAATTTGGGAGAAAAAATTATAAAAACAAGATGCACCCAAAGTAGCCGTTTTTGCTTGAAATCCATGCATGCATAGGAAAAGAGTGAGATTCTTCAACATAACGCTGAACAGTAATTTTTTAAACCTGGGTAGTGTTAATGAATGGAAGGAACCATTTTCTTTTTTTTCTTATCTGTGTTTTCAATAGTAAATATGTATAACTGTATAATGAAAAGCAATAAAATGTATATGTTTAAGATTGAAGGATTATATATTTTGAAGTATTTTGGGACCAGGAAGGTGAGCCCTCCCTGTGAGGTCTCAGATCTGGACGTGGAACCTGATGGTGAGGCTCTTTTCATATTCATCACAGGACTGGAAATACAGGGCACACTAATTTTGTGTGTGCATTGGTGGTGAAACTGTTGAGGATTGTGAAGATCTAGACTTTTCAATTTCCATCAGTCCCAACCCTTCCTTTTGTAGACGAAGAAGCCCTCAGTCTTTTCATCCTACTCTTGAGCATTCCTCTGGGCCAGGCCCTTTGCTGGGAGCATCACCTATAATCCAAAATCCACCACTCAGGAGCTGCCTCCTGGCTTTGGGAAGAAAGCCAGAAGGATTGGAAGCTTCTTTTGTTCCCACCTTTTTAGTTTTTGATCTGTAAAATGAGAGATGCTATTATCAACCTGTTTTAAAGATTGAGAGAAACAGCACATGCAAAATACAGCCAGACGCACAGGGTAGGCAATAAATGTTTGCTATTATTGCTATAATATACTTGTGTCGTCCTGACAGACTCTAAGTGGGCACTTACCACTGCCATTTTATACTTACAGAACTAAGAGGAGCAGAGAACTTAAAACTTACACACATGGCTGGATACAGTGGCTCACACTTGTAATCCCAGCACTTTGGGAGGCCAAGGCGGGCAGATCACTGGAGGCCAGGAGTTTTAGAACAGCCTGGCCAACAAGGTGAAACCCCATCTCTATTAAAAATATAAAATTTATCTGGGTGTAGTGGTGTGCACCTGTAGTCTCAGCTACTCAGGAGGCTGAGGCACAAGAATTGCTTGAATCCAGGAGGCAGAGGTTGCAGTGAGTCAAGATCACGCCACTGTACTACAGCCTGAGCAACAGAATGAGATTCTGTCTCAAAAAAAAGGACATACACACAAATCAAATGCACACACAAATAAGCAAAAGCCCTGCTCAAAGCACTGTATCTTGGAGATTGAAAGGGCAGATTTCATATTCAGGTCTGTGGACTCAATGAGCTATGCTTCCAGTGGTAAACTGCTATGATATCTCAGGTAGGGCTGAGGGAAGAGGGGTGACTTGTCCAAGGCCACAAATCTAAAGAGGGGCAGTGCTGGGATTAAGCCCAACATCTACTTCAGCAGGTCATTTACTGAGAGGGCCTCCGGATGGCTGAATAGAGGTGCCCAGTGCCTGAGGAGATAACCACAGGTGGACTTCCTTGTCTAAGAGAGAATGGTGGGATTCAGCAGGGAGCCTCAGAGGCATGGAAGAAGAGATAAGTGAAGCAGCTGGCCTGGTCAGGATCAGCTTGGAGCATGGACAAACTCCCCACTGCAAGGAAAAGGTAAGGAGAGATCTCAGTCGCCCACATTCCCATCATGGACTCCTGCAATCTTAGCCACAGGAGAGCCCCTTGGCCTTCATGGGCCCTGAGATGAGTAGAGGGAGCTGTGTGGAGTCTGCATGATGGTTTTGTCTCAGAGAGAGAGCTTGTGCTGGGTGCCAAACACCCCCAAGATGCAATCAGCTGTAGCACAGCGCCATGTTGTGATCCTAGACCCTACCAGACTGCGTCCTGTCCTGGGGCCCAACAGCTCCTGCATTTCCACATCCCTGGAGACATTCCTCACCCACCCACCCAGAGACCTGCAGCATTGTGATGCCAGGACCTGGCAGGAGTGGTCAGGTCTCCAGCACTCTAGCCCATACAGTGTGCTACACCCCAGGGAATGAATGGTGCAGCTCACTAGGCAGACTTCCCCTGGGACAAAGGGAGCTGAAGCATGTGCTCCTCAGAGCCAACTGCCTGGAGCTGATGTCCCTGACAGCAACACCTACCACTCCACTGGTGAAGCCACTAGGCTGCTGCATGTATTTTAGGGGGTCTAGGGATTGACACACATAGGTGCCATCCTAGGGCCTGAGGACAGACATCCCCGACCACCACTGCCATCACTGGCATTTGCATATGCCATTTTAGGGACCTGGGAATAACCCCATGGCACTCATTGCCACCACTGCCAGTACCTGTGCACACTACCTAGGGTCCTAGGAATCAATCCGCCTCGCCTGCCATCATTGGCACTCTTGCATGCCTTCCAGGGTCCTAAGGATAGGCCTGCCCCACCTGCTGGATTGACTCACCCTGCCCACTACTGCCATCAGCACCCACATGTGTTGTCTGGGATCCTGGGGATTGATCCACACTGCCTGTTCCAGCAAACACTATATAGAACCCTGACAACAGGCTTGACTCACCCACTGACACCACCACTAACATACAAACATACCATCTGGGGGCCTGGAAATTGAGCCACCTTGCACACCATTCCCAGAGCCCACACACACCTTCCAGGGGCCTGAAGACAGGTCTGCCTCTGCCACCACCACTGGCACCCACCTACACACCACTGCTCATGCCTGCACATGCTGCTTGGAGGCCCAAGAGTTGGCCCTCCACCACTACAGCCACCAGAAATACTATACACACCAACCAGGGGCTCAAAGACATGCCCATCTACATGGCCCACTGCTGCCAATTCTGGCATCCAAGCAAACTACCTGGTGGCCCAAGGACTGGCCCACTTAGACCCACCAACACCAACACCCATGTACACTGCTGCTGCCACCACCACTAGGTACCCAAAGACTGGCCTGCATGGCATCCCTGTCCCTAGTTAAGTCTTGCCACAGCCCCTACTAATGACCACTGCCTAAGCCATGGCGGAATTCACAAACACCACTGATGCCAATTACAGATGAAGAAATCATAAAGACCACACTACTGCAATCAAAGCCAAAATACCCTACCCAACGAACACTATAGATACACCTATAGAAAAAGAGTCTTTTCCTACAAAAGCCAATCTACAAAATTGGAAGGTGTAACTATTAAATCAGATATGCAGAAATCAATGTAAGGACACATGAAAATGCAAGGAAACATGACACCTCCAAAGGAATACAATAAGCCTCTAGTAATAGTTCCCAACAAAAAAGGAAATCTATAAAATGCCTGAAAAAGAATTTAAAATAATTATCTTTAAGGAGCTCGGTGATATATAAGAGAACACAGGTGAGCAATACGTATAAGTCAGAAAAACAATTTATGATCTGAATGAGAAGTTCAACAAAGAAGCATAATTTAAAAAAAAGAAATTCTGGAACTGAAAAATTCAATAAATAAAATTTAAAATCAATTGAGAATTTAAATAATAAGCTAAATCAAGCAAAACAAGGAATTTTGAAATAACCCAGACAAAAAAAAAGAATGAAAAAATCTACATGATATATAAGACACCATAAAGTGACCATATAGCTGAATTTTAGGATTTACTGGAGAAGATATGGACAATGGTATAGAAAATCTATTTAATAAAATAATAGCTGAAAATTTCCCATATCTTAGAAGTAATATAGACAGATACAGGAAGCTCAAAAATCTCCAAAAAGATTAAACCCAAATAATCTTCTCCAAAGCATATTATAACCAAACGGTCAAAAGTCAAAGATAAAGAGAGAATTCTAAAAACACTAAGAGTCAAGTCACATATAAGGAAGTCCAATTCAACTAACGGTGGATTTCTCAGCCAAAACCTTACAGACCAGGAGAGAATAAAATGACATATTCAAAGAGCTGAAAGAAAAAAAACCTGCCAGCCAAGAATGCTTTACCAAGCAAAGCTATCTTTCAAAAATGAAGGAGAAATAAAGTCTTCCCCAGACAAGAAAAACTGAGGGAATCACCACTAGACCAGCCTATCAGAAATGCTCAAGGGAGCCCTACACCTGGAAGCAAAAGAATGATATCTACCACCATAAAAACACACAAAAGTATAAAACCATTTTTAAAGCAGATATAAAAGTGAGAAATGAGTCAAATATTACCACTACAGAAAACCACCAAACTGCAACAACAAGAGAGGAAGAAAGGAACAAAGGACATACAAAACAATGCGAAAACAATTAACAAAATGACTTGAATACATCCTCACCTATCAATAATAACCTTAAATGTAAATAGATTCAATTCCCTACTTCAAAGATGTAGGCTGGCTAAAGGGCGGGGGGGGACATGAATCAACTATTGAATCAACTATGTACTTGCTACAAGAAATCCACTTCACTTGTAAATATACCCACGAACTGAAAGTGAAGAGAAGAAAAAAATATATTCCACACAAATGGGAATCAAAAGTGAGCAACAGTAGTTATATCAGATAAAACAGGCAAATGATCTTTGTCTCTTTTAACCATTTTTTACTTAAAGATCATTATATGATGATAAAGGGATCAATTCAGCAAGAAGCTATAACAATTCTAAATATATACATGCCCAACACCAGAGCAGTTTTACTACAAATAGTAATATTCGGGGACTTGAACACCTCACTCTCAGCATCATACAGATCATCTAGAGTGAAAATCAACAAAGAAACATTGGATTTAAATTGCACTTTAGGCCAAATGGACCCAACAGGCATTTACAGAACATGTCATCCAACAGCAGCAGAATACACCTTTTTACCATTAGCATGTGGAATATTCTCTAGGATAGACCATATGTAAGAGCACAAAACAAGTCTCAACAAATTTTTCAAAATCAAAATTACATCAAATATCTTCTCAGATGATAATGGAATAAAATAAAATAAAATAATCAATAACAAAAAGGAACTTTGGAAATTATAAAGAACACTTGGAAATTAAATAACATGCTCCTGAACAACCAATGGACCAACAAAGAAATTAAGAAGAAAAATTTTTAGTTTCTTGAAACAAATGAAAGTAAAAACACAACATACCAAAACCTATGGGATACAGCAAAAACAGTGCTAAGAGCAACATTTATAACAATAAATGCCTATGTCAAAAAAGTAGAAAGACTTTAAATAAGCAACATAGTGATGCACCTTAAGAAACTAGAAAAGCAAGAAAAAATAAAGCACAAAATTAGCAGAAGGAAAGAGATAGTAAAGATCAAAGCAGCTAAATGAAGTAGAGACTTATAAAACAATCCAAAGAATCAATTTTTAAAAATTGGTTTTATAAAATGGTAAACAAAATCAATAAACCACCAGTTAAACTAACCAAGGAAAAAAGAGAAATGACCCAAATATATAAAATCAGCAACAAAGAAGACATTACAACATGATACCACAGAAATACAAAGAATTATTAGAGACTATCAGAAACAACTATACACTAGCGAACTGGGAACTTACAGGAAATGGTAAAAATTTCTGGACACATACAACCTACCAAGATTGAATCAGGAAGAAATAGAAAACCTGAACAGACCAATAATGAGTAATAAGATTGAATTAGTTAAAAAAAAAAAATCTCACAACAAATAAAAGCTGACTCACTACAAAAAAAAGTAGCTTTACTGCTGAATTCTACCAAACTTTTAAAGAACTAACACAAATTCTTCTGACGTTATTCCAATAAATTGAAGAGGAGGAAATTCTTTCTAACTTATCACATGAGGCCAGCATTGCCCTGATATCAAAATTAGACAAGAACACAACAAAAATGGAAAACTACAGACCAATATCCCTAATGAACACAGATGCAAAAATTCTGAACAAAATACTAACAAACTAAATTCTACAACACATTCAAAAGATAACACACTATGATGAAGTGAGATTTAGCCCAGGGATGCAAATCAACATATGCAATCAATAATTGTGATATATCACATTAACAGAATGAAGGCAAAAACCATATGATATCGCAATAAATGGAAAAAGCATTTGATAAAGTTTAGCACCCCTTCATGATAAAAATTCAACAAACTAAGCATAAAAGGAACATACCTCAACATAAAAAAGGCCATACATAACAAACCCTAAGCTAACATACTAAATGGGGAAAAGCTGAAAGCTTTTCCTCTAAAAACTGGAACAAGATAAAGATGCCCACTTTTACCACTCTTATTCAATACAGTATGGAAGTCCAAACCAAAGCAATCAGGCCAGGAAAAGAAATGAAAGGCACTCAAGTTAGAAAAGAGAAAGTCATATTGTCCCTCTTTGCAGATAATATAATCTTATATCTAGAAAACCCTGAAGACTTCACCAAAAAAACTCTTAGAATACATGAACAAATTTAGTAAAGCTTCAGGATACAAAATCAACCTTCAAAAATAATTTTTAAAATGTTTTTTTCTACACACTAATAAACTAGCTGAAAAAAGAAATCAGGAAAACAATCCCATTTACGATAGCTACAGAAAAAGGATAAAACTCCTAGGAATAAATTTAACTTAGGAGGTGAAAGCCTCTGCCATGAAAACTACAAAATACTGATAAAAGAAATTGAAGAGGAAACAAACAAATGGAACGACATCCCATGCTCATGGATTAGAAGAATTAATATTTTAATATTGTTAAAATGATGACACAACGCAAAGCAATCTGCAGACTCAATGCAATTTTTATCAAAATGTCAATGACATTCTTCACAGAAGTTTTTGTAAAATACAAAAATTCATATGGAACCACAAAAGACCCCAAATAGCCAAAGCAACACTGAGCAAAAAGAACAAAGTTGGAGGCACTGTACTTCCTGACATCAAAATATATTATAAGCCTATGGTAACCAAACTGGAATGACATTGGTATAAAAACAGATACATAGAACAATGGAACAGAATGGAGAATTCAGAACTAAATCCATGTATTTAAAGCCAACTGATTTTCAACAGAGGCACCAAGAACATACCCTGGGGAAAGGGCACCCTCTTCAATGAATGGTGTTGGGAAAACTGGATATCCATATGCAGAAGAATGAAATTAGACCCATATCTCTCATCACATACAAAAATCAATTCAAGATGAATTGAAGACTTAAATGTAAGACTCAAAACTACAAGATACTAGAAGAAAATATAGAGGAAAAATTTCAGGACGTTGGTCTAACAAAGACTTTATGTCTAAGACTTCAAGAGCACAGGCAACAAAAACAAAAATAGACAAAGAGGACTACATTAAGCTAAAAGCTTCTGAACACCAAATGAAACAATCAAGAAGAGAGTAAACAGATAACTTGTAGAATGGAGAAAATATTTACAACTATGCATCCAACAAGGGACTAATGTCCAGAATATACAAAGAACTCAACTGAACACCAAAACAAATAATCCCATTAAAAAGTGGGCAAGAGACATGAATAAACATTTCTCAAAAGAAAACATACCAGTGGCCAATAGGTATATAAAAAACTGTTCAACATTACTAATCATCAGGGAAATACAAATCAAAACCACAATAAAATATCACCTCATCCTAATTAGAATGGCTATAATAAAAAAACAAAAAATAACAAATGCTACCAAGGACACAAAGAAAAGGGAACTCTTACACACTGTTGGTGGGAATATAAACTAATACACACATACAGCCATTATGGAAAACAGTATAAAGTTTCCTCAGAACACTAAAAGTACAACTACCATACAATTTCACAATCCCAGTACTGAGCATTTATCCAAAGGAAAGGAAATCAGTACATCAAAGGGATACCTGCACACTCATGTATAGTGGAGCATTATTCACAATAGCCAAGTTATGGAATAAACATAAGTGTCTATCAATGGACAAATGGATAAAGAAAATGTGGCATATATATACAACGGAATTCTATTTGGCCATAAAAATAAATGAAATTGTATTATTTTCAGCATTATGGATGGAACTGGAGGTCATTAAGTTAATGAAATAAGCCAAGTACAGAAAGAAAAATACCACATGTTCTTATTCATATGTGAAAGCTAAAAAAGTTGATATCATGGAAGTGGAGCATAGCATGATAGCTATCAGAGTCTGGGATGGGTAAAGAGGGAATAAAGAGGTGTTGGAAAATGGGTACAACATATAGTAGAGGAAGTAAGTTCTAGTGTTCAATGACACAGTAAGGTGACTAGAGTTAGCAATTATTTAGCATATATCTCAAAATAGCTATAAGAAGATCTGAAATGTTCCTAAGAAAAAAGGGTAAATATTTGAGACGATAGATATCCTAAATACCCTGATTTGATCATTATACATTGTATGCATGTATCAAAATATCACACATACCCCATAAATGGGGTTATCCCATTTATGCTTAGCATTCCATTATTGGAACTAGTACAGCCATTATGGAAAACAGTATAAAACATCATTGGAAAGCTAAGCATGAGGGAGTTATTTATATCCTATTGCTCGAGGTCATCGCCAACATCTGTTTGCAAAAATTCAAAATATTGCAACCTCAGGCAAAAATGGGTTAATGTGTACAATTATTATATATCAACCAAAAAAGACAGTCATTTATATTCATATGTCTTTCAGTGCATTAATAAAACAATCGAGGTCATCCTCTTCACAAAAAGCTAGTCTTTCAGTATTATGGCCACAGAGAGCCAATTCTGGGTTTTCTAGGAATGGGTTTGAACTGGGCCAGATCCCCAAAGGCTGAGTTCACTTGGAAGGCTGGTGAGCACCACACCTCAGCCATGTGTCAAGGAAGCGCTCGCTTTGGTAACTACCAAGGCAGAAAACAATCAGTGCCAGGGAAACACAAGATGAGCCTGCGAGGGGGTAGACACAGTCCCCTAGCGACGACCTTGTCCTCAGGAGATATGAGCAAAGTCCAGTGGGCCAGGCAGCTTGCATGAAGTAAGGAGACCACCAAGTCAAAGGGGCTTAGAGGCCAGCTGCCTTTACACCCCTAGTTGGGTGGAGGGAACCACATCTGCACTCAAGGGTCCACCAACACCCACCATGAGAAGACGTGTTGGCTACACATCAGCCAAGTACTCCTGCCCTATCCTTTCTGCTTCATCAGCCACGGCCAGCCAAATATATGACCAGGGTAGTTAGAACTTCAGATTGACTCTGCTGCTAGCAATCTGTAGGAAAAGAAGAAATCGAATATCCCAGAGGTCTCTTATCTGAGACACTGTGAAGCAGAGAGTTGTTCTCCATCCCCCAGGTTAATTCTCAGGACATAACACTACTCTCCCCCACTCCCATATCCCCACTCCCCACCCAGCCACCATCCCCGTTCTTTTTTCCTGGCTTATCTCTGAAAGCCCCCGGCACAGTGGAGTCATGTGCACACCATGTGAGCCAACATGGGAGTTCCCATCAGGGCCCAAGCCCACACATGAAGCCTTATCTCTCACCACTACATATAAGTCTGCAAATAAATTTCAAATGTCAACGAACAACTAGGAGATGAATGGGCGAATGCAGTCACATGTTCCTTAAGTTTTCTACCATAAGACAGTGCTATATCAGATGCAGGGTGAGAAACGTTCATTTATCAGACTTTGACTAAGCACCTGATGTGTACAAGATACTGGGAGCATTCATCCTTTTTCTGCCCCAGAAAGCAAACCAGAAGGACATCTAAGTCCCTGCTTAGCTGCCCATTGAACTTGGTGTTTGGTGAAGCTAAGCCTCACTTATGAGAACAAGAAGACATCCACAAAGCTGTGATTTTACCCCACTGCATTAAAGATTTTCACTTATTAAAATAAGCACTGTGCTTTACAAAGCAAGCTTCAGGACTCAGGCATGCATAATGCAATGCATCCTGCAGCTTTATATACTCAGCATCCTTGCATCTTTTTCTGATGACCAGCCACTGTGTTACCATTCTTTCCTGTGCCTCCTGGTAACAAAGGAATGCCCTTTCAGGGCACACGATTGCTGTTTGCTGTGGTACTGCAGTGAACAGCCCCAGAGTGCTGGAAAGTCCCTCTATCTTCACTCACTGTCAGCCTCAGCACTCCCTCCTTCCTGTCCTTACGCATTTGTGACACCCATCAACAGAAGTACATAATCCCTGCCATCTTCCTGTTACCCAAGTTTAATAGCCATTCATTCATTCATTCACCAAAGGCTCTCTGAGCACCTTCTCTGTGCCAGGCTCTCAGAGATCATAAGAAATAAGAAATGAATAAAGCCTGTCCCTACTTCCCTTCCAGCCACAGTTGCAAACTGGGACAAACCTACTTCACCTGTCAGAACCTTAGTCTCTTTCCCCACCCAGGTTGGAGATCAAAGCTGGAATGGTCCTTAGAGATGATCTAGAGCAAATGTCCCCAAACAATGACCAGACGGTCAAATCCAGCCTGTCAATGAAAGTACATAAAATCTACATTGTCAAAGAAAAGATCCATCCACCTGACTCCCAGGTGGCCACTTCCACACAACTTTCAGGCTTCCTCTTTGGGCCTAGAGATAGGCCCCTCTTCCATGTGCTATCTCAGTCAGAGAACAAGGAGACAGGAGGAAGGACTGTGTCTCGCTCCATGTGTTCCTGGAAGCCAGGGACACCTGCCTCCCTATTGTGGGCCCCTGGCCTCTCCTTTGTGCCTGAATTCTTAATGTCTGCCCCAGATCTGACTGCTCCAAGGGTAGAGTGAGCCTTTGGGGTGCAACCGCCTTCTTCTATCACCTGGGCTCACACTCGGCCCTAGGCCCATGTGCCACACCCCTTCTCTGTGGGATAAAATTACAGCCAGGGACGAGGTTAGGAAGGGATTCTTAGTCCACTACAACAAGAACCCCCCAGGGAGATTATTTTATAATCTCAACAACTGGAGAAACAGTCCCTTACGCCCCCAAACGCACAGGCATGGAGTCTGAAGGGAGTTTCTGTGTGATGACTGCAGGAAATGCATAGGCTTTGCACTGCTTCCCGCAATGTGAACTTGAGCCTGTACCTTATCTCTCACAGCCTAAGGGAAACCAGGACACAAATAAGAGGCATTTCACAGTGATGTGCTGTGGTTTAATGAGATTACAGGGGCAGAGATCCAGCACAGTGGCCAGCACAGGACACATGTTCAGTCAGCCCGAACCTGCTCCCACAGACATGGGCACACACCACCGCCGGATGTGGAAACTGCAGGCACTACAAAGGCAAATAAATAAGCTGCCTGAGGTCACACAGCTAGTAAATGGCAGGGTCGGGGTTTGAACCTGTCTCCTACCATGACGTGTGCTTGTTACCTCTTACAGGTACACAGAAATTAAATCAGTAAACAAATGAATGGACAAGGTAGGGACAGGTGCCATGAAGAAAACAAGTCAGGTGGATGCGATTGCCTCATGAGGACTGCATTAGATTTGCTCATCAGAGCTTGTGTTTGAGCAGAGAAAGAGCCAGCTTTGAGAACATCTGAGGAAATACCTGTAGATAGAGGAGGCAGTGAGTGCAAAGGCCCTGAGGTAATGCAGTGAATATTCATCACTTTTACTTGGGGCTCTCCTTGCAAACCAGGGCCTTTCGTAGGACATAAAATGCCAGATATTTGTTTTATCAGTGACAGAGTTTGGCTGTGTCCCCACCCAAATCTCATCTTGAATTGTAGCTCCCATAATCCCCATGTGTCATGGGAGGTAATTGAGTCATGGGGGCAGGTCCTTCCCATGCTGTCCTCATGATAGTAATAAGTCTCATGGGATCTGATGGTTTTATGAACAGGAGCACCCCTCCACAAGATCCCTTGCCTGTCACATGTAAGATGTATTTTTGCTCCTTTGTCTCCCATGATTGTGAGATCTCCCCAGCCATGTGAGACTGAGTCCAGTCTTCTAAAAAGAAAAATAACCTTTCTTTCTTTTTCAATTACCTAGTCTTAGGTATGTCTTTATTAGCAGTATGAGAACAGACTAATACAGTCAGCCTCCCTTGCAGCTAGCATGTGGTTCGTTTATGCTCCTCAATCAGACATGCTGACCCTAGACCTTGAGTCAGAAGTGAGTGACACAAAGAAACCGGGGCTGTGCAGGCTGCAGGCTGACAAGGGTATCCCTAATGCAGTAACCATGTCCAGTCTCTGGGGCAGCCACGGCTATCGCTATGTGGCAGACTCCATGTTCAGTGCCAGCACTGTTGGCAGGGATGGCCATGGTGTCTGTGCCCAAGGGCAACATCTCAGAGCTGCTCTGCAACATGATTGGGGGTACTATTTCCAGCTACATCGCCTTCATGCTTAGTTTTCTGGCTCTTTAGGAGACTCAATAAACTCCAGAATATTGTTTTAGTAAATTTGTTTTCTGCTTGAAACACCTGAAGTCACTTTTCATTGCTTGCAACTTGGAACCCTGACAAATACATGCCCAGACCATGAGTGCCCACCCAATATCCATGTGCTCCCCTGCAGTGCCCAGCCTCCCCTGCATTTGTGCTTAGGCTGTGTGACTAGTTCCAGCCAACAGACTGTGAGCATATAAGTGACGAGTGTCAATGCTGGGCCAAATAAATTTCTCACCAGGGCCACATTGGATGCCACATTTTGGGACAGCAGCATCATAAAATGGAGGGAACCTGGATCCCTGAGTCACTAGGTGGAGAACAGACCTGCCAGCCCACATCAATAGTTCATAAAGAAGAATCAGACGTGTAAGGAGCTGAGCCACTGAGATTCCAGGGTTTGTATGTTACTGCAGCACAGCCCAGTCTAACCTAACTAGAGGTCAAGTTTAAGGGTAAGAAAAAAGGTAGGTGGCATCAAGCACAGTGAACAACGGAGAGAATGGTCTGAAACAATACTGAAGTGATTACTGACATGGGAAAATCTTTTGTGATTTTATTCTAAGTGGGCTAAAAAAAGCCACTGGCAGGTTATAAGCAAAAGCAGTCATAGCCAAACATCAAGGCAAACTGCCTTCCACACAGCTTGTAGGCATAGGGAGCTTACAGGGGCCTCAAAAGGCATCTCATCGATCCTCAGCTATTGCCTCACACTCTCCCACATTGATGCTTGTAAGGAGTTACCTGCCTCTTCTTGCACATTTCTACTGATAGGAAGTGCACGTCTTTCAAGGACTACTCACATTTGCGGGGTATTGTGCTGACCTTCTTTATTTCCCTGTGACCTCTCTCTACTGGCAAACCCCAAAAACTGTGAACACATCCCCTATTCCTCAGCAGCTAGCTCCTCACAGAGCCTGCTACCTTGGTTCTGCTCTGCTAAACACACAGCCACTGGCCACTGACCTCCCAAAAATCTATCTCTAGCAGAACTGGATTCTGAAAGCAGAGTAGAGAATGGGATTATGGATCCAAGGATCTCAGCACTGAGAGCATAACCAGTCCACTGTGCAACATGCCAGCGATGGATTCACAGGATCTCTTATGTTTTCATCACCCTCCTTATGTGTCCCCTGGAGAGAACACAGGGGACATTTGAATCTCTAGGCCTGGTTCCCTCTGCCTGCCCTGGCCCACATCCCTAGCCTAACCTTCAGCTCCATGAGCTGATGCAGCAGGAATTTATTTACGAGCTCATTATCCCTGTGAATCATGTCCAGCTTGAGTTGGGACTTAACAAGAGGAGTGGTCCTTTAAGCAGCTGAGCACATGAGGCTTGGGGAGAGGATGGGCCAGGACAAGCAGGGCCTCACTGCACCAGGAGCCAAGAGGGCAGATGGGAGCAGTGGATGGGAGGTGGCTCCTGCCAGCCCTGGAGTTAGTCCTGGCTCCAGCAGTTCTAGGGCTTTTCCAAACACTGGCTTAATTCCAACACAGAGGCTGAAAATGGAAGATTTGGCTGGTCATCCATTCTTTACTTCTAAGCCCCAAAATATACCAGGGAATCTGAGAAGGGAGAAAAGCAAGTGACCAACATCTTTCTGACTTCTATCTCACCAGAGCGGTCCCTGCCCCCTGGCCGCCCCCCCGCCTTGGGCAGTCCCCAGGTGGGAAAGTTTCACAGCGTGGCATTATTTAAATGCAGGATATGATCATTAATCTATTCAAACTTCTTTTCGACCATTGTTTTACTTGATTGCTGCACGTAAGTTTAACCATGTCCATTTGAGAGAGAAGGGTTCAAGACTCTGAAGAGACTGGCCCAAGGTTGACTTGCAATAAGTAGCACAATCCAGGACT